CCCACCCCGCCCACAGCCAGTCCGCCCCGCCCACAGCCAGTCCGCTCCGCCCTAGGCGGTGGGAGGGTGTCCCGGGCTGGGGAACCGTCCAGTGTCCACGCAGGAAAGTGATCCCGCTGGCCGCGCTCTGCACCACGGCCGCCCCCACCGGCCGGAAGGAGCCGGAGTGTGGGCACAGCGGATCCAAGGCGGTTCTGTGCCGCGCCCTTCCCTCCTCCCCGGGTGTGCCGGGGGCCAGAAGCCTCGTTGTTTGTGGGTGAATGCCGGCTGGGGAGGCCGAGCACGCCTTGGGACTTTCCCCCTGGATGCCCCGGGCTCAGCAGGGTGGGGATAACCCGTTGTCTGTCAGCCTTTAGCTCAGGCCTGTGGTCACAGCAGAGCACAGGCCGTCCTGACCCTGAGGCCACCAAGCAACCATTATGGAGGATACTAGGCAGACTGCCACACTCATACTTTTGCGACTTGGGTCTCCTGCCCCCCCCCCGGGGGGGAACAGGTTTGGGGAAGGCCGATGGCAGACAGCCCCCGGGTTCAGCAGACCCTCACCTCCAGGCCTTGGTGGGGCAACGCTTCACCAACCACCAAAATCTCTTCTTGGAGCTGTTTCTCCTTAGAAACAGGAAATTGGGATATGGCCACATGTCTATCCAGCTATGGACAGCAGGATGAGGTTGGACCCAAAGGTCTTGCCATGGTGCTCCAGGCAGGAGCCCATGTGTCCAAGGTCAGGGCGGGGCACAGCACACAGGACCTCCCTCTGGGCTTCCCAAGTGTTATGGGCCCTGCTGCCCTGCCTGACACAGATGTCAACCTTATCTGGCTTGAGGCCTTTTCCCAAGGGCAGGTGTGGTGTGTGTGTGTGTGTGTGTGTGTGTGTGTGTGTGTGTGTGTGTGTGTGTAAGAGTGTGCATCACTCCAGGGTCTGCTGATACCATTGGTCTGTCTTGTCCCTTCTCTAGTCTACAGTCCTGCACATGTACATGAAGCCCACACATGTACACAGGCCTCCTAAGGCGAAGAGATCAGTCCCCACCACCCACCACAGCCAAGGTGCCTAGATCTGGATGCCCCCTCCATGGCCCCCTCCCCTTCCTGGCCCTTCTCATCTGGCAACAGCAGCAGAAAGGGGAAGGAGAGGAGGAGGGCGGTTCCTTGTCTCCCCTTCCTGGTGGCAGCCAGCACTTCCTCTGGTTCCTCAGGGCCTGGGGTGGCTCCCTCCATGTTCACCAGATATCCATCCTCCCTTGAGTGGCCAGCATGGACTCTCCCCTTTAAGCTTCCAGGCCAGCTTCAATGTACAGGAGGGGCCATAGGTCTTTCTGGGAGATAGTTGAGAGATGGGGAGAGGGATCAATCTGACATCCTAGGTCAGAGTGTTAGACTATTGGATGGAGGATGAGCCACTTGCCAGTTTGGAGGGGTCAGCACGGGAGGGGTCAGCATGGAACCTAGGGAACACGGGGAGCCTGGCCCACCTGTGACTTTGAGGTTGGGCTGGTGGTCCCTGAACTAAGCATCTCTCTCCCTTTGTAGCTGTGAGGCTGAGCACATGGCCCTCCACATTTGAGAGCTGCTGTGGAACAGCTGTAGGGGACTAAGGGCGCACACCCCCCTTAGTCTGCTTCTGCGGCAGACTGTGGAGAGTCCCAACATTGATCCTCCTGCTTCCTTTGGATGTACCATCCCTGGTTTCCAGTGCAGGGCTTCTGTGCAGCCAGAGCAACACAGGCTAGAGCTTGGGCCCAACTTCCTATTGTTGAGCACTACCAGGCCCAATCTCAGCCACAGGAAGGTCTGTCCCTGGCCGGACACCTGGCCCAGAACAGGACACTGTGAGGACAAGTCAGGCTAGCCAGCTCCTCCTGCCTGTCCCCACCTGCAGTGGGCCACCTGCTCCAGGGCTTGGTGCCCCCACTGCCAAGACTCCCACCCACCTGGCACAGACCTGGTCACAGATGGCCTTATGCGTCACCAAGACCATGGGGTGTCAGGGGTAGGCAGGCATCCAGGTCCCAAATATCCCATCTCCATCCCCTCCCCAGGATCACCTGGCCAGGGGACAGTAGGTTTGCCTGTGCTGGCGGTATCTGAGGGGAAGGCTGAGAGCCCGGTGGTTTCACATCCTTCCAAGTCTGGTACCACAGGGTCCCAACCCTGCCCTTTACTTTTTGAAGTATCCTTCTTGCAGGTGAAGGGCTCCAGGGGTTCCTATACCCAGGCCACTCAGAATAGGAACATCATTCTTGAAAGAACAGGTAGACGCCCCTAACTTGGGCCTGCCTGATGGAGGAGCCAGAAAGAAGGCAATGACCTGGGACGGGCAGAAGGTCTTCAGACAAGCACAAGGCAGGGGTAGGGGTGGCAGGCCTAGGCTAGGGTCTGGGCTGGAGGCCCGGGGGATGGCGCTCCTCCAGGCAGTACTTGAGTAGGGACAGGCTGCTGGGGGGCGGGGGGTGTAGAGGCCTGCAGAAAGTACAGGCTCTTGCTGCAGCGGGAGAGGGTGGGGAGAAGGGCCTGGCCAGCAGTTTCAGTAACTAGGTGGAGGCATTGGCTTCCACTTTCCATGGAGGGAGCCTTGGCAACTGTCTTCCCAGACGAAGGCTTCTTTGATTGGTGGGGTGTGGGTGTGGGTGTGAGCCTCCTTGAGTCTAGGGTGGTGGCCAGGGGGACTGGGGGATGGGGGACTAACAGGCACAGTGAGCTGAGGGTGGGCAAGGCAGGATGTGACCATTTATGACAACTGACCAGAAATGAAAATGAGGGCATTGTGAGGGCAGGGTTAGGAACCAGCTCTACTCGGGGATCCCCAGGTCTTGAGACTTGGAAAATTGGCACCAGTCGTGAAGTGGGGTGATGAGAACTGCTGGAGCAGGGGGCTGCAGTGGAGTCTAGAGGGGCACCCCCTGGGTCCCTGCAGAGACCTCAGCTGATGGATATACTGAGACCTGAGCCAGACCCTGGGATGGGCCTAACCTTCGCCCTCTGTGCCAGGGAGGATGAGGGCCTCTCCACCTCAACCCTTCCAGGGAGTTTGCATCCCTTTGGGTGTGGTCTGGACTGGGGGTGCCTAGAGCCCTCTAATGCTGTTCACACCCAGAGGTGAAGCCGGGGGCAAACTGGGAGACAGAATGCTGGGTCTAAAGCTCCCAGCAGCTGCCCGAGTCTCGGAAAAAGCTGCTGTTGGATGTTCCCGGCTCCATGGCCACTGGTGGGCAAGATACCCACACTGACCACATCCTTTCCCTGCCTGTTGCTCTTATGTGTTTGGCTGCACTTGACACCAAGGGGTGCCTACAACCAGGCCTTCGACAGCATCCCGCATGCATCCTACCAGTCAGAGATGGCTCATGGCCACAGCAGTTATCTGTAGCCCTTGGAAGAGCCGTATGTCCAGCCCCCAGTATGAGTGGGTCCTCAGCCACCCACTGCTACAGCCCACCTTGCCTCTCAGGTCAGGCCTGGGCCTCGGTGATGAGATGAGCTGAGCCTGCAGTCTTCTTTCACGACATCTCTAGTAACTAGGCTGTCCTTGAATCCAGTGACCCTCCTCCCTTAGCTTCTTGAGTACAGAATTACAGGTGTGAGACATACCAGGCTGTTTTCTTCTGAACCTGTGGTCTGCTGGATGGGGAGCCCACCCAGGACAGATTTTTCCCAGGCTAAGCTGGCCCGTGCCCATTCCTGCAGCTGAGAACCCCTCTAGGCCTTGTGGGGCAGGACAGGAGGTAGTCAAGAAAGACAGATAAGGATCCGGGCCCAGGGAGCCTATCAAGAGGCATAGGGATCTACGGTGTGGCTAAAGGAGGCTGAACGGCAGCAGCTGGCCAGCTAATGTCCCAGCCACAAGCTTCAGTCATGGAAGATTGCAGCCTCTCAGAGCGTGGCAGGGCTGTGTGTCACTGTTCTCCACGGCACACAACACAGATGGCTCTTCGGGGAGGAGATGCAATACGCTGGGGAACTGGACCCTTGTCTGGTCCCAGGGAGTTTTGATTCAGTAAAGCCCCACAGGAAGGGCCCTACCCAGCATGTCTGTCCAACACTGCCCACTGTGGGTCCTGTCCTAGCCTGGCCAAGGTCATTAGGCTCCAGGCCAGGGTTCTAACATCTGCAGCTATGAGTGACCCACAACCCCCAGTGTGACCCATGGACTTGACTGCATGCATGGGAGCTGTGGGTGCCCGTGGGACTCTCAAAATTCTTTATTGTACAATGTTGTCTGTTTCCAAGGGGGGGTGGAGGAGGAGGCAAAAGGACTAACAGGTACACACAGAGAAATAGATAAATATGCCAAGCTTTTTCTTTTTTTTTCCTTTTTTAAATCAGGCATTTATAAACAAGAAAGCATACATTAATTACATAAAAATAGTTCTCGAGTAGCAGAGTAAGCCATCATATTGTCATTAGCAGCAGCGTAGGATGGGAGGATGCAGGGGCTCGGGTGGTTATGAGGGTAGAGGTTGGGCTTTTTCCTTAATTGATGAAAATGTCATTTGAGACTCCTGACTTAAATCAAGAGCCCCTCCCTCAGCCTTGGGATGGGCACGTGGGGAGGGAATCGTGGAGAACCACCTGGGCAGGAACTGGGGCCAGCGGGCAGCCATGGAGGACACCACATGAGAAACGCCACAAGATGCCCCTGTCCCCTCTGGCAGATGAGCATTTTTTTTTCTCAGTTAAAAACAACCCAGAAAACAAGACAGCCAACAGGTAAGAAAAGTTTCTGGAAAAGGAACCACCATATACATGTATAATACAACAGTGTGAAACAGAAAAAAGTATCTACATGTGAGTTTTTACATTGGCTAGTTCTGTACGAAAGCAGGTGTTGTGTGTATGAGTTAGCTGCTCACCAATGAGTGTTATTGCTGTTGGATTTTCCCTTCGTTAAAAATCTTCTGGAATAGAAATGATGAGTAAACTGATAAAGGGTTTAACATACAGGGAGAGTCAACAGCCAACACCATGGAAACCTCTTCTCCCTTTCTCTGAAAAGAAGTTTGCAGCCACTAACAGGAAGCCAGGCGTGCTGCCCTCCAAGGGAACAGCACAAACTATCCCAGTGCTCCACCAGCTTCAACCAGGCCAGGTGCGTGGGCACCAGGCGGAAGTAGTGGAATGGCCCAGAGGGCCCAGAGCACAAGCTGCTGCTAAGTGGAGCCTGTGCCCTGGTCCCACCGCCTGCAGGACCTCACAGGTAGTGGGAGGAGGGACCCAGGGGGACGACTCAAGATGACAGTCTCTTCCTAGGCCCAAGCCATGCTGGCACATGGGGAGGAGCCCTGCTACAGACTTAGCACTTCCTTCCTGTATTGGGCCCAGCACTGGACCAAGGGGACCTGGGTGTGATGGTGACTGGGGGTGTGGCAAGGAGATGAGTCCTCTGGAGTCAAAGGCTCAAAAGGGCCCGACTCACTTCGATCTCCTACTAGGCGAGAAGGACAGCCACACAGAAGCACACCAACACACTTAAAGCTTTGCTCCAACTAAACCATTTAGTTCTCCTTGAAGAAATGACTGGAAAACAAACAAGGCTGAAAATAGCATTCTGCGTGTTGCGTAACAAAACTGACCCTTTAGGAGACAGGTCATAATGCCCATGGGTGGGTCTAGCCGTAGAGGTGTGAGATCCATGCATACAGGTTTCATAACTGAAAAAAAGAGAAAGAAAAAGAGAGAAAAGCCAAAGAAAAAACTCCAAACGCTGCGTACACACGACGTCCCTTTTGCATTGCACTTCAGAAGGGGGACCCAGCAGCAACCCAGCCCCCCTCAGTAAACCAAGGGCAAACCCTGCAGACGACCTCAGCACCGAATGTCAGGGCTTAGCAGTCTCTAATCGCAGGCAACAGTCCTCAAGGTCGTTTGTACCTGCTCAGGCCACCTCCACCTCCCTCAGCTCGTGGCTGCCCTGTTAGGACTGGAGCTGAGGGCTCCTATGTGATCTCATGTAAATAAACACCATAATCGGAGGATGGGTGGTGGCCTCTTGTCTACTGGGAAATCATTTTTCAAGCTTGGGCATAAGAAACCTTATACAATTTGCATAAACAGTTAAGAGTAAACGAGATTATTTGGAATAAATGCAGGTAACGTACTCTGACAGTGGCAGATTCAATTGCTACTGAAGACGATATTTTGGGGGTAAAAAGACAAGTCAGGGTTTGCTGTACAAGATGCTGGAAGGCACAGAACGACCCCCAAGTTCAGTCTCTGCGTTGCGTTTTCTTGTGATTCCCTTGTCCAACCAAGCACCAGAGGGGATTTCTAAGCACTCGAGCACTTAGGGTTTGAACTGCTCTAGAAATCGGTAAAAACCTCAGTTAACTGGGGAGTAAAAAGAGAAGGGGAGGTTTCTGACAAAGTGCAGTTCTAAATATATGTTTAAATGAACAAAAAAGGAAAAAGTGACATAATGCTGTGTTTTGTTCCAATGCTGCAGCCTCAGCCCTAAGATGGAAGGAACAATGTCTGCCGCACTGAAAAGGGGTCGCCGTAGACAAGCAGCGGGCGGGTGGGTAGAGTGGGGGGACATGACACTGGACCATGGCCACTGCCTGACACAGGTCAGCCCCTCTCAAGGGTACCCGGCGGCCAGGAAGATGGTGACTCAGCCTCCTGGTGTCTGCAGGGCATGGGGTAATGGTGATGGTGGGCGGGGCGGCGGCGGTAAGGCGGGCAGTGTGGGGCTCATCTCGCACGCGGTGCTCTCTCTGCTCCTCCTGGCAGCAGCAGGAAGGCTGGGGTCCTTGTTGCTGAAAAAATAGACTCTGAAGAAAACCCTTGCTGTCCTCTTGCAGCCGCGGGCACAGATGAGCGGTGATGGCTTCCCAGGGCAGCGGTGGGTGGGTGCCACCCCCGCCAGAGTGGGTGTCCGGATAGCGTCACGTGTTGGGGCCTTTAAAAGTTAAGTCATTAAAAAACATGTTGATTTTCTGAATATCAAGTCTCTCCTTACTGGTTTTAAATAGCTTATAACAAAAGTGTAAATGTTAGAATGTCCTAGCAAGCAGAGGACCAGCCACAAGCCACAGAGCCAGCCTCGACTCCGGTTGCAGCTGGGGAACATGGCTCGCTCACTTGAACTTGGCCAGTAGAAAATTTTGCAGTGGATTCCAAAAGTATGTGGTTACAAACACTCGCTTGGTAATAGGCACAGTAGAGACGTTGTGCTGTGTGGCTGCGGAGGCATGGGCGGGGCCTGCAGAGCCACATGCCCGCCGCCCTCTGCGCACGCATGGAGGTTCATGCCGCAGTGGCAGGCACTGCTCAGGCTAGGGCTCCAGCTCAGCACTGCCCTCGTCACCCACATTCTCAGGTCGAGGCCGTGGCCACAGCTGCTCCTGAAGCTCCTTCACCACCTTCTCCAGGTGCTCCCGGGCCTCCCGCTCCCGAAGCAGGTCAGCCCGAAGCTGCTCTCGGTCAGCCTCTGCATGCTGCAGCTTTGCTTGCAGGTCCTCGATCTGAAAGGGGTGAGGGGGAATCAGCAGTGCCCACCATCAGAACCTCCTGCACAGGGCCCGTCTTCCTGCTCTGCCTCCGGCACCGTGTCTGCCCCTCCTCCACCTCGGGGCTCACGAAGAAGGGCCCAGACACCTGCGCTGGGGAGAGCCTTGTGTGGGCCCAGAGCAGGAGTCCCCCAGTTGCCACTCCAGCTTTCTTGGAAGCATTCAAGGGAACCAGGCAGCACTGCAGATGTGGAAGACCTTCCCCACCTCCCAGGGCTGGAGCCCTAGGTTGGGAAGGCTGTGTGCAGCCATCACTGTCCATCTCCTCTGCCCGGGCTCAGAGCTTGCTTCCCAAGCCAGCAGCGTGAAGGTCTTGGCCAGGAAGAGGAGCCTAAGCGCCAGGGCCATGATGGTCCTGGTGGGGGTGACAGGGTGCCTGGACCTCCACCTGTGGCTTATGTCCACTGCACCTCTAGAATGGCACAGTGTTTAGTCACCTCTAAGTCCATCATCACCTGACAGAGATCTAGCCTGACCTGGTTAGACCGAGGGCCTTGGATCTGCAATAGTAGCTAGGCCCTATGTGCTTCAGTTGACCAGCCCAACACTAAACTCTGCCCTCTGTAGAGCACCGGGGGAAGAATACCCTGCATACCACCCACCCTAGTACCTGGGCAGAGTACTTGGCTCGCAGGCGGCCGGCCTCACAGCCCTTGTCGCATACACGGACCTGCCGCGCCTGTTCTAGCTCTCGCTTCAGGCGAACCCGGGACTCGTTGGCTTCTTTCACCCGCTTCTCACTCTCAGCTCGCAGCCGCTCAATCTCTTTCCTCAGGCTTCGCTTGGCCTCTGTGGCTTCCCGAAGCTTCTCTTTCTTGGCCACACGCAAGAACTCCAGCTCCTGGGAGGACAGGTAACAGACAGGTTCAAGGAATTGCCAGCCCAGCACCCCTCTGTCTACCCTATACCCCACAGGCTGTTGACCTGGCTGCCTGCCACATCGAGGCTGTAGCAGAGCTTCACGCGCTGCCTTCTCCCATGTGTAAGTGCCAAGCCCCACTGTGCACCTGAGGCCTGGGGCTGCCACCAGCCAGATGGAACCATTTGCCTCTGGTATTTCCCATGCCCTTCCCCCACTTGTTAGAACAGCAGTATGGCTCATCCCCAACACACACACATACACACACACTCACCCCCCACAATGAATAACGCATGTGAGAAATCACACCTCCACCCAGAATGGAGGCAAAGGAGGATGAAGGAATGACTAAGGCTCACTCTGAAGAGAACATCTGAAATCCCGAAGCCCTGAGGACTGACAGGGTTGCACTAAAGCCCACGTGTGTGACGTGTGTGACGCTGCCCCCAGAGCTGCCAGACTCGGGCAGAGGTGTGAATGCAACCGAGAATGCGCCTGCTGGTGCCTTAGTGCTGAGCCTTAAGACCAACACCCCAGCCTGGCTCTTCACTTTCCCCAGGAGGCTGTCTGCAAACCAAGTCTCTCTCACGCATGTCAGGAAAACAAGAAAGGGTGAAAGGAGGTGCAGGAGGAGCGGGTGCAGCTCAGGAAATAGGTGGGCCCTGAGAAGCAACCAGTGAGGGAGGGTGTGAGGGTATGCGCCTCTGGGCATGCGCTCCTAGATGCCTCTTGCTGTGCCTAGAGGTCTGCTGGGAACAGATAGCTTCGAAGACAGATAGCTTCAGAAGTGACCTCAGCACCCGACATGCAGAACACAGGTCTTGCTGGTGGTGCATGAGCCCATTCCTTCCTCACCACTAACAACAGTCCAAAAAACCATACCAATTCTCTCATGGAGACCCAGCACTGCAAACGACGGCTGCGTGTGGGGGGGAGCCCCCCTGGAAGCACACAGGGATTCTGGGCATCAAATGCCCTCGCGTGGCTGGGCCCTCCACCCAGGCTTCCCAAGAAGACCGTCTCCTGCTCTGGCCCTGCCTGCCACCCACTGTCCTCACCTGGTGCAGGCTGCGCTTGGCCTGCAGGGCTGCTGTCAGCTTCTCCTCCTGCTTCACTCGCATCTTGACCACCTCATGCAGGAACTTCTCTTTGGCTTCCTTGGTATCCAGGCCGCCCTCCAGGGCTTGCCGCAGATGCTCCAACTCTGCCTCCAGCCCGCTGGGGGCATCAGCATGGGCCACAGCATCAGGGGCAGTCACTGGTGGGGCGTGCATGCCTGGGGAGCTCAGGTCCTTGGCAGAGCTGGACGAGGTAAAGGATGGAGAGGACAGCGAGGACAAGGAGGAGGTGACTGAGGACGACAGAAAGAGAAACCAAAGTCATTAGGTACTCTGGAGACCTGGCCACAGCAGAACAGACTGCTCCAGGTAAGGCTGGCCGGGTCATACCACATGGTCCCTGTGCTGATGTCCGCAGGAGCGGAGTCCAATCCACACTTACATTCCTCTCTGCTTTCAACTTCGACCTCAGCCTCAGAGTCCTTGTCCTCCTCTGGGACAGTGACAGGTGCCAGCGGCTCTGGGGCTCCTGGTGTGTCCACAGTCAGCTTCCTCTTCCGTGGCTGGATACAAGTGGTGAGAGGCTCTGGCGCCCGGGAGACCACGGTGGTGCATGGTGGACTGTTCACAACCTTTTGCTGGGTTGGTGGTGCTAGGGCCACATTGGGAGCCACAGCCGTTTCAAAGCTCTTGTAGGAATAAAAGCTGCCAAGAGGGGCAGGTGTTTAGACAGGGCACATCGCCCCACAGTCTCCCACATCCACTGTAGGGTGCAGGGAAACCTCCTCTCCCAACTCCGACTCACAGGTCATGGTTCTAATGACTGAGAACCACAGACTTCCCCATAGCCTAGTGTAGGATGTCAGACTGAGCCTCACAGGATGAGATGAGACAGTCTCACTATGTAGCTCTGGCTGGCCTGGAACTCAATATGTAGACCAGACTGGCCTCAATTCAGAGATCCACCTACTTCTGCCTAGAATTAAAGGTATGAGCCACCACACCCTACTGGGAGGCCACTCTTAATCAAAGGTCTGTGAACTCTGTAACTTATAAGACTTGGAAGTTCTAGATGGTTTACGCTAGTGCTAAATGAACCAGCACAAAGCCTGCTGAACAGGGCTTTGACATCCTGTATATGCCTTCACTCACCTGTCTCGGATCAGGGCTGGGAGGTGTGGGGAGATCTCTTTCTCACTTGCTGAAACTGCAGGGGACCAGGGTCGGAAAGCAGAAAGGCGCTGGCGAGGGTGAACACAGCCCAGGCTCTGTCAAGAGAGTCCCCTGTGTAAGTGACTAGAGAAAGAGTCACCTTGTGTCCTCGAGGCCAGATGGAGCAGCTGGCCACGGAGCTGGTTCCAAAAAAGGCCTTGTACCCTCCCCAAGGACCCCAGACAAGTTCCCATATAGCACCTTATTAGAAGAACCAGCCAAGGTCCGCAGCCAAGTTGACTGCTTGTCCTTTTCAGAAGATGCAGGGGACTGTGAGGAAGTGTCGTCTGCTTTGGGTCTTATGGAGGCTGGGGGCTCTGAGACCTGTGATCAACACAAAAGGCCCAGTTGGCATCCCTGGGCCCAGACAGGGTCTCCCCATCAGCCCACAGGAGCAAATGCTCCACTGATCATTACAACCCCATGCTTTAAAGAACTCCTGAGGATTTAAAATGTACTCAGGCATGTCCACAGTGCACCCTGCCACAAGGCCATGTGCAGAAAGGTAAGCCTGACTCCTCTGCTAAGGGACAAAAGCCATCACACAAGAAGGCAGACACTGTCTTGCTGTGGTCTGCTAGGAGATGACCTCACCCACAGATGCAGCAGGTGTTGGCCTCCATGGTGCTCTTGACCCTTCGGTCCTTTGCCATCAGTCTGCCCACTTCTCTAGCTCCGGATGTGGTCCTAGGGGACTTGAGGGAACCAGTCCCCCCCCACAGCCCATGCCAGGAATGGGCTGAATGGCCTGGCAGTAACTACGGGACCAAGTGTGACCCCGCAATCAGCTGTGCTCAGGCTCAGAGGCTGGGGGAGGCTGTCCTCTGGGTGGACCTTGTCACTACTTCAGTAGAAACCAACCTCCTCCCCAGAGGAAAGAAATGCTCTCAACATGGGCCCTGACATACCACCCGGAACGGGCTTTACCAGATGCTACCACACTGACTTTGCCACTCAGGAGCTTGGAAAAGTCATCCCTGACTCTAGCTCATTCCAGGCTTCTGCTGTGTTCCACCTGGCATCAGGTACAGCCCTTCATAACCAAGTGGCACAGACACTACAGTCCTAGTATCCTCCCAGGTCAGTCTGTGTGGGAAAGTCAGTTAGCCTCCAAATGTTACCCCTGGGGAGGTCCCATCTGCAAGACAATTACAGCATGAGTCTCTCCCAGAGCATCAGGACAGAACAGCCTTTAGAAGGCAGACCACTGTCCCCCAGCTGTGACCTAAGTAGATACCAGGGAAGACTCAGCTCCCAGACCCCTGGGCAATAGAATCAGCACACACGACAGGGTCCCATGCACAGCTTCCCTCTTAGGAAGGGGAGTTACCTCAGGGGTGACTTGAAAGGGATGTAACTAAAATGGGGTCTCTGGCCTCTAGTCAGGAGACCTAAGGGTAGGGTTCTTTCTACTGTCAGAACACTTGGGGAAATAGCTTTATCATACAACTGGCCAATAGGCATGAGGCAAGGACCCTCCTTTTCCCTGCATCAAGGCTGGCAGTCAAGGTGACCCCTTGATAGGTTTCCTACTGTGAAACTTTAATACGAGAGAGGAATTAGCCCTGGTAGAGACCTTGCTGACTTAGAGCCAGGGGAAGATCCCACCAAGGCCCAGGTAATGTGTAGTATATGTGCTAGTCCCCATCCAGTGCCCACCTGGGAGGCCTCCAGCCCCTTATAAGCAAGTGCTTGGGGTCAGTGGGATAGGGGAACCAGTGGAGAGGCCACAGTAATGCTGCCCCCACACATAAGCTAAGGGCTGGGGCAATGCTGCTCCTAGGGCAGTTTCAGAGATAAAACCACAGGCTCAGCTGGGGTGTGTGTTCCTCAAAGACATCAAAATAACCAATCAAGAAGACGCTGAAACCACTTGGGTTGTATCACAGCTTTCTGGGGGATCAGGTTCTCACGTCATGTGTCATTTAGTAGAGGCCCTATCAGCCAAGGCCATGTGTGTCTAAAAGGCACAGGTATCCTGGTGCTGGTTGGGGTAACAGAACCCACTTCTGGAACTGCATGGACCCTTCCCCACAGTGAACATGGTGTGTGTGTGTGTGTGTGTGTGTGTGTGTGTGTGTGTGTGTGTAACATTGTCAAGGTGGGGCTTCCTGTCTGAACAGACACAGGAGCAGGTGTGGAAAGTGAGCTCTGTTCTCACCCAGAGAAAGCCACAAGTGCCGTCTGGTACTGACTTGAGAAACTCCAGAGACCTGGGTGGGGAGTGTGAGACGCCTCAGCCTCAGTCCAAAAAGCCAGACTCTGTGACCCTCAGAAAAGGCTGGAGGAGTAGGACCACTGGGAGAGGCTGCTTCCTGTTCAGAGCAGCCATGGGGTGGGGTAGGGGAGCAGGGATGTGCTAGACGAGTCACTGGGGCCAAAGTCTCCTAAGACACTCCCACTCCAGCTGTTTCATGCCTGGGATGCGGGGTGGGGTGGGGGTAGTCGCAACAACTCTTCTGAGAGTCTCAGAGGAAGCCAAAGGCACACAGCAACTCTAACAGGACAGGGAAGTCTCAACACCAGGTGATGACAGGAACTCACCCTTTTAACAGCAAGTTTGTTTAATAGTAAGTTGCAAAAGCGAGGGTGAAGTGTGAAGAGAATTCTGTGAAGCAGGAAGACATATCTGCGAGGAGGGCCCTAAGAAGGGTCACCTGAGAGGGGTCTACTTTGCAAAGCTGTAGAAAAAGAACTTCCTTTGTCAGAACTGGGAAGTCTCTGTCCACAGCTGGGATACTGAGGGTCCTGGACTTGGTAAGGCTGTACCTGGTGACAGACCACACAGCGTTCCCCCTTCTGGGGAACTAGTCTAGTCACCTCTGGTTTCTAACCTTTCTTGGAGCCTCAAAACCTGCCCGGTAGAGCCTACAGGCTAGGAGGCAGGAGGGGGCACTGGGCCTGAAGCCAGGGCCTGGACAGGGAGGCGAGGCTTCTTAGCTGGGATGGCTACAGCAGAGCCCTGTGGCTACTTCCTCTCTAGGGCTTCAGGTGAAGGATGGTTTTTCTCCAACACATCCCAAGGGCAAAGGCCCTGAGAACAGGTGCCTGAGTGTGAGCCTCTGTACCTGCGCAGGAAGGGCAGGGCCAGCCTGGGCTGTGTATACCCTAGACCCAGAGCAGGTGAAGAGCCAGCTGCAGATCCCCCCTGAATACTCTCCATTGTGGGTTCTATGTGCACTGACATAGGGAGCTTAGGAACGCCTCACCCCACGTCCAAATTCCTACCTCTAGAGGCATGCTTCATGCTGTCTTGGGCCAAAGATTGAGACGGAGGCAGGACAGCATGGGCCTATGGGATGCAGTGGAGCCTAGCACTCAGAAGATAAAACTGCACTTGGGGTCAAATATATCTGCTGTGGGCAAACTTACCCCCCAGTCCCAGACAATTCAGGGAACAACTAGGCAGAGCTTCAGAGACTGGTGACCAGCAGGAGCCACAGTAGGGGTTACTGGGTCTGAACCACACAGGCAGTACACCCTGCAGGTGTCTGTGCCCAGTGAGAAAAAATAGTAGCTAGAAAACCCCCCACAAGGTATGGCAAGTTACCAAAGGCAGTGGGCCTTAGGCTAGTGCTGTGCAGACAGTGAAGAGTGGGTGTGGGGTTCTAAGGGGCCTTCATAGACTGTGCTATGATCAGGGCAACTCGACTTCCACAGCAGAAACTAGGGCCGCTGCAGGGGCCCAGGAAAGCTCTACATGCCATCTGCTCACCCCACAGGCTGCAGAATCCCAGTAGTCTCCACCTACCCTTGACCCTAGAGGAATAGGCTCACCACTATTCTGCCTCAGAGGATGAGAGAAACATTCAGAGTCTGCCCCAGGACTCCATCCAGCCACATTCAGTGCCCTGTCCTTGGCATATGGGGCATGGTGGTGGGTAAGAGAGGAGAGAAAAGAACATTCCAGATGCTGGTCAATGATACTGGGTAAGCTCAGGGTCACGGCAGGGTGGGATGGGAACATGCAACCTAACTTCCTCTGGTGCTCTGGTCACCATGAAGGATGCCAACATGTCTGGGTGAACACCAAGCAGCCCATGGAACAAAGAGGAGCTCTGCTATGTGTCCCTGGCTGTGCAGGCAGCACCTACACCATTGCAGGGCACAGCCCAGGCACGTTTCCAAGGGACAGAGGCGGGAAAGGCCAGCGGAAGGAACAAGTGTCAGGAAGTGAGGCTGGCCTGGTTCCGGTAAGGCCTATCTGGTACCAGGGTCTCATGTCACTTAGGCTCTTAAACATACAAATGCAACAGGATGGACTATGAAGGAACGCCCAGACTCCGCAGTTGCCAACAGCAACAAGGCAGGCTGGGCACTGCGCCCTGTGCCATGGCAGAGAGTCACAGCCACCTGGAGGAGGTCTACTCTATCTCAGAGCATGAGGCTTGTACTACTTCTACACAGAGGGGGATCTGATACAGGTCTGTGAGAACAAAGCCACTTTTGGCACACAGACCGACCCTTCATGTCTCTTGGGGAATGTATCTCAGGCTGAGAACCAAACAGCAAGAACAGGAAGGGATTTGGGATTCTGTCTATGAAGCCGAACTGGGGCCACAGTTCACTAAACCAAAAGTCTGTCCAGGAGGAGCCAATTCTGCCATGGGGACATCAAGGAATGGCCAATTGTTTAAAAATGCTCAGGGATACTGCCCCAAGTCAAGCACACAAAGCCACATGGGCCTCAGCTGGGCCAGCCTTCCCAAGAATTCAGGACAGATTCAAGTACAGTGGGCCCTGGGGCACACTTGTGCCTCAGAGCTTGTCAGAAGAGCTGGTGGTGACCCCAACACAGAGAGGATGGCAGTCTTTGGATTCCTAGCTGCACTAAGTGCTGACATGAGCCTTGTGGCTCTAGGTACCACCCTAGGCATTGCTAGGTGGGGGCTTCTGTGCAGTGTTGTACCATCTGGTCAACTGCACATTGAGTATCAAGGCTTGGCACCCAGGAGCTTCAATGCCCAATGTAGCCTGGTGGCACCTGGGTATTTGCCAATAAACATGGCTCCATGGAGGCCATAGAGATTGGCATTTGCACATGAAAAATAGCTGCTGACCCCAGCCATGGACTAAAGGAAACAAAACCAGTCCCCAAACCACTTTACCCAGGACTAGGCCCCTTGCTGTGGGGGACAGGGCTCAGGAATCAGAAGCCTGCTACTCCAAGACCAGGGAAGGAGCCCATGGCAGTTACCAGGCTGGGTGATGGCCCTGGGAGCACAGTGGGAACTCCTCCCCAGCAGTAGGTACAGGAGGGGCTGCCGATAGTGAGACTTTAGGGGACAGGGACTGGATCTTACCAAGGCGAGGCCATAGCTCCC